GGCGGGGAGGGAGGGGGAAAATGAGGACCTAATGCCGGGGGCTTAAGTGGAGAGGAAATGTTTTGAGAGTGATGAGGGCAATGAATATACAAATATGCTTTATACAATAGATGTATGTATGGATTGTGATAAGAGTTGTAGGAGCCCCTAATAAAACGATTTTTTTTAAAAAAAAAGAGAGATGGGCCACTCAGATCCTTCCAGATCAGGGTCCAAGTCGCCCCAGATAGCCAGAGGGGTCTCAAGAAGAGGCAAGCTCTTAACCTGACAGTCCCCTAAGTCAAAGCCCGAGCGCTTTTCACCCTCTGCGGGATCAGACCGTCCTCTTTTAAGAGCCTGCTTTCATTATCGTCCATCGTCTCAGGATGTGTCCACCTCGTGCTGGGCTGTCCATGCAGATGGATTTCAGTTCAACATCTAGAACACTCCTTTCTAAGCTGCAGGCACTAGGAAGAGAAAGCCAATGTCGGTGACCCTTCAATTAGGTGATTGTATTCGTTCCCCAGGGCCACTAAGACAAGTGACAAAGTTGGTAGCTTAAAGTGACATACAATTATTCTCCTCCTGTTCCGGAAACTCAAAGTCCAGCATCATTTTCAATGGGCCAAAAAGCAAGGTGTCATCAAAGTCACACTCGCTGCAGAGCCTATAGATGAAGACTCATTTCTTTGCCAACTTCTAACATGGTAGGTTTTTGTTTCTCCTTTGCACATTTTTCATTTCATCATTGTTTTTTAATATACATTTTATTATGGTTTGTACAACACTTATCACAATCTATGCACTCATCCATATGTCAAGCACATTTGTACATTTGTTGCCATCATCATTCGCAGAACATTTGCTTTCTGCTTGAGCCCTTGGTATCAGCTCATTTTTCCCCTCCCTCTCCGCTTCCCCCTCCCTCATAATCCCTTGATAATTTATAAATTCTTATTATTTTGTCATAATTTACACTGTCCGGCATCTCCCTTCACCCACTTTTTGTTGTCCATCGCCCAGGGAGGAGGTTCTATGTAGATCTTTATCATCACCCCCACCCTCCTAACATGGGGTTTTTGCATTTCCTGGCCCATTTCTCCTACTGTAAAGTCAACACTGTGGCATGTTGCTTCAGTTGGCACACTGCCTTCTTCTCAGTAAAATCGTCTTTTACCTCCCTCATATAAGGACATCTGTGATTACACTGAAGTTTTGCCTGCGTCATCTAGCATCATCTTCCCACCGCAAGATCCTTAACTTGATCACATCTGCAGAGTTCATTTTACCAAGCCGAGTAGCAGTCACAGGTTTCAGGGCATGGAAGGACACATCAGGTCCCCTTATTCAGCCGACTCCAGTGATCTACACCTTTTCTCAGGTCTCAGGCTCATAGCATATCCTCACTCACTCACTCCCTCACTCCCTTCCTCCCTCCCTCCCTCAGAATCAGCTTGTATATCTTTCTCTACAGACCACAACCTAGCTTCTCAGGCCACCTGAGTTCCGTCCCCTTGTCGTTGCTTTTAAAGCCTAAGCCACATCAATGACCACAGGGACCGTCTCACGGTGACTCCATGTCTTGCCGGGTAGAGCTACACTTCACAGGATTTCCAAGATTGGAGACCGACCTTCAGGCTCATCTTCTGAGGCACCTCTGGGTTGAAACTGCCAACTTTTGGGTTAGTGGTTGAATGAGTCATGATTTGCACCACCAAGGAATGTCTTAAACTCTCATCCCTGATAATATTCTAAGACAACATGTCCAATGAAACTTTCTGTGATGATGGAAATGTTCGGTAACTACAATGTCCAATATAAGAGCCACCAATCATGTATGGCTGTGGAGCACTTGAAATGTCACCCGTGTGACAGATGAACTTCATTTTCAACTTTAATGAAATCTAAGGGAATTTAAACAGCCACCTGTGGCAAGGAGCTACCATATTGATCAGTTCTGTACTAGGTAAATGAAAGCGGAAGCTAAGACCAGGCAGTTTCTTTGCTGCTGACCCCTCCACACCTTTGTGGGTATCAAATCTGCCCCCTCCCTCAATCAAATCTGCCTTGGACTGAGTTTTCTAGAGAAGCAGAACCAGTAACCCTTATATGTATGAAGGGGTTTCAAAAGTTCAGGAACAAATGGAATTCAATGATAATGGCATTTTTCCATGAACTTTTTGAGGGAGATAGCCTGGAAAGCTCTAAGTAGTGGGTCAGACTTGAGTCTGGAGACGTCTCCTAACTCAAGCAGTTGCAGGGCTAATGAAGTCGAGAGCAGCAGGTGAGATAGACAGCAGGATGCTGGCTGCAGTGGAAAAT